CCGGCCTCCGGACGCCGCGTTCGTGCTGTTCTGGGTGCAGGACGCGGTGGCCTGTCGGCCTGCGGGTTCCTTCCTCGCCGGTCCCCAAAGGCCAGCGGGAAGCGTCCGGGGCGGGACTCGTGGGCGACAGATGCATTTAGAGGGGCTTGGGTTCGTGTCTGCTGACACGCAGGCCGGGCGCGGGCATGAAAGCACCTTGGCGCCAGTGGGAAGAACGCCTGCGTGCCCCGAGCGACATGAGGACAGTACCCTGGACCAGAACGGGCAGGAGCAGCGGGTTCATGTCTGCAAACAGGCCGCCCCGGGCCGCTTGGGAAGCATCTCGGAACAGTCAGAATAATCAGAAACCTGTTCTCCACCTTAAGTTCTATTCAGCCCAATTATCTTGCAGATTTGCTGCTTTGTGGATACACGGTTTTAGCATGTTTAGTGCCCCAGTCCAAACTAGTGTGTCTGCTGCGTCGAAGAACCCTGGGGCCAGCTGGTGGCGGTGGTTATGGCAGCTGGATCCCGCATAGTAAACAGTAGGTTTCTTCTTGGGGACAGCGGTATGGGAAACGCCTGGAGCGTGCGTGCATGCCCAAAACCTAAAAGGAGCCACCGAGAAGGGGTGGAGGGATCGCATTGTGTCCTTTCCCCATGGGGGTGCTTTCTCATGTTCTCTCTCTCCCCAGCGAGCACACAAGCCCTTTGACATGCATGCCTTTCTCAATAAGTAAGTAAAGTTAAAATCAAATACTTAAAAGAATTAGACAGACCAAGCAGCTTTGACTTCCTTGAAACATCAGCAGTCTCAGTACTTGTAAGAATATTCAGAGAAGTTAAATAGTATGCTATCCACTAACTTGTCGGTTATCAATGAAAAAGATCATTATTCAATTTAATTGGCAGTCTATGGCTTTTGCATATGACAATACTTAAACCATTTCTGTAATTGATACTTTAAGATAAAAATAATTTGCTCAAGGTAACAAAACTGTGATGACAGTACTGAAAAACTGTGACGACAGCACTGAAACTAACCGTGTCCTGAGTTTCCTGGTCTGTTTTACATTTTCTTTATAGACCTACTTCATGGGATCCATAATTCGTAAGATGAAGACAGATAAAAAGCAAAATATCAGTTTTTGAAGACCTCAAAGTTCTTGTAGATCATTTCTAAGTAACAGAATTCTCCAAAAAGGTCATGGCACTTTTTTTTTTTCATTTCATTTTTCCATACATTCGATCACATTATTATTTGTCTTACAAAATGGATATTTCAACAGGTGAACATTTCTCCCAAGTACTGTTGATAAAAGCACAAAATATCTTCAACAGATAATGCCACACCTCTTTGGATTGTGGCACTATTAAAGGACCTAGTGGCATTTCATTGTTGTCTACACGTTACCGAGGAAAGGACAAACTAAAGGAAGAATAAACAGGCCAAGTCACCCAGCTAACCCAAAGAGCAGAGCAAGGCTGGCAGCCTACATCTGCCAGCCTTCACACCTCAGCTCTGAGAGACACTGCTGCAAAGCTAGCCTGGCAAGGGAGCCTGGGTGCCAGATAGGTGCCAGCTATAAAGAAAAAGTTCTGTATTTTGAGGTGGGCCCAGGTGACTTCCTACCTAAAGTCTAAAGTGGACTTTAAGAATAAATGATCCTGAACTCAAAATGGGGAGACAGACAGGTTCACGTAGTGTGTGGGCTGAATTCTGGGAGCAAGGGGACAGGCAGTTAGTGCTCATTTGATATGGATGTGACCAGTCACAGCTATCTTTAAAAAATGTCATTATCAGTAAGAGACTTGAGTGAACCAGTAATCAAGAAGAAATTGAAGTTGATTCCACAAATCCAGTGAATCTGCCAGAGGACAAGGGTACCCATGAGTCATTCCTGACTTTGGGGTAGATGATAATTCCCACATTTCTGAGCATAGGAAAGATTAGGACAGTTCAGTCAGTATGAACACTTGTTTTAATCAGTCCTGCATCCATTCCTTTTCTTCTAGTGATAGCACTTTAATTTTCTCTTAGAGAACAAATTACCCTTACTGGATAGTTTTCATGAGATTATCAGCTATTTTCCTCTAGTGAGGATGAGAGCTGAACAAGGCCAATTAGACTAACTTCAGGATAACAGTGAAAACGATTGAGGCTTACTGAGGTTAAAGGTGGCAAACTGGAGTTCCCATGTGTCTTTCTGAATCTGGGTTTTGTGCTTTCCCTTCTATTCGGTGAGCTACTCATTATCTTTTCAATAAACTACGTGGGGTTTTTTTCTTGACAGGAATCACTTATTGCCTGTGAGCAAGACTGTAAAACCTTAAAGTCTGACATGGTCAGACTTGTAGGTTACAAAAAATTGAAAACTTGATTAATTTCATTTGTGCACATGCTTTTGAAAATCTTAAACACTAGCTAATAGCATTTAGAAATAACATTAAAGTGGATAAGAAAACTATAAGAATTTCCATCTACCTGACCTTGAGAAGAATGCAGACACAGGACAATGGCCATGCTCGTCGTAACCCTGTGACCTCCTTAACATCAGAGAAACTTTCCCAGACCAGCCAACACAACTTAGCCGTAAATTAATTTCCATGTATAATTAAAATGTCCAAACTGTAGACTTTCAGGAAACTAGGTCTGGTTGTCTAAGAAACCTCAGTCATGAAAAAAGTCTATAGCCAAAGAAAAGCTTAAGGTGAAAATGTCACTCAATGTAAACTCGATTAACTCTGTTCTCTCCCTCCTTTCTTACTATGAAATGAACCCTGGACTTTGCCATTTTGGGGAGCACTGGATATAGGTCACTGGAGCCTTTGTTTTTCTCCAGATTGTTACTCTCAGTTTTTATAGTTGAATAAATACTTTTGCTCATTAAATTAACTTTGAGTCAGATCTCTTTATTTTCCAGTTGACAAAAATAATGTTAGCTCTTAACTTCAGTTTATTCTAAATAGCCTTAGGGTAAAGAAATGAGTTGAATAATTACACTCTAGGTTGTATTAGATGCCGAATAGTTGGTCATCTTTAAACCCTAATACTAATTTTTAAAAGTTAAAAAATATTCTTAATAAAAAGAATGAAATACTCTTAGTAATAAGAGTATATGAAATCAAGTGGTCAACAGTATACATGAAGAAATGGTAAGGATGTTAATGTCTAACATGTTAGAATCACTAAGGGCTACTCTCAGGCCATGCTTGCATGCCCCATTCCCATGAGAGTCATTGCAGCTGGGAAGCACTGTTAATGATG